ACAATTGCAAGCTCTAAAATAACCAATCGTATAGAGTTTATATTATGATTACTTTAGAACTTGTAATTGTCAAATGAAGAGGGCTATATTTACGTAATAAGTGGAAGTTCCCTTATAAAAAAAAAACAGAAATCAACACTATCATTAGTAATAGATTATAAAATTCAAATGCAAGAAAAATTATTCTCCGTTCATCTAGATAATATTCTACAGAATCAAACCCAATCATAGCAATTCATTTTTCCTTCTTTTTCTATATTATCTTATATTTTTACATTTTTTATCACACTATCATTACCTTCATCAATAGTGTCAACCTTTAAAGAAAGCACTTTTTCTTATCATGTGAAAATACTGCGTGTTAACAAAAAATATTTTGATAATATCTTGTGCACTGGTATGGATTAAAATGAATAATCACGTCATAATCTGAAAGTGGCGTTACAAGTCTCTAAAGTATTAAATTTCATAAAAGTAAAACATAAGACAATGAACACAATAATGTAAACTTTTATTACGCAAAATGAACATAATATATACCTTGACCCCCGTTCTCTATCAAATTCGTCAACGTACAAAAGCACAGATCTGGCCAAATCTTTTATTCTATTAGCAACAACTTTGCTAGATTTTTCAATTCCCCAAACATCTCCACTAGTAGTACCTATAAACATTAATCCATATTTGCAAATTCTTAAAATTTATCTTAATATCTTCAACTTTATTTTCATTTGTATTATTTTTATTATTTTTTAATGTGGTTCTTTTTTTCTTCACTTAAATTAACAATCATTGCTTCATTATTCCAATCTCAAGATGTTATCAATTTTAAAACTCGGTGAAACCCTACAAATCCTTACCAAGGTGATGGTTCTGAATAACTTGTGAAAACAGACATTCAATCCACTCTTCGTCGACATGATCGCTTTAGCAAATGTGTACTAAACCATCGTTTTGTAAGTCGGATGGTTAATGAAAAACTTGATCACTTTGTTAGTATTACACATAATAATTGTGGCGGCTGAAGCTGAGATTGGGGTCTCTATTTAAATCTATAATATCTACAAAAATTCATTTATACTCTTTTATTAATAAAACTAACCCTAAACCCTAATCTAACTCTAAAAAAAAGCCGACAAAAAAAACCCTAAAAATGTTTAAAATTTAATATTAAAATATTTCAAGATCTCAGCTTCAGCTGCCACAATAATTATTCACTCACGATTCACCAAAAGTAATTTCGAATTTCTATTTTCAAATGCGAATCATAACTACGTATTAAATTCTTGAATTTTTACACGACTCTAAAAATTCACAATTAATTAAATTTTTAATTTGAATTATTGATATATTGATATAAAATAAATCTAGATATGCATAGTTTTGACATTCTTATGTCTATACGCCCTACCAAATTGATCAAGCAACACTTGCTCCAAAACATTATGAAATGACGTGACTTACAACTTTGGAACCAGGAATATCGCAATTCTCTAGCGATAATAGAAGCCTATTATTATTAACATTTGTTTAAGGTTAAAATTTGGCCAAGAACATGAAATTAAACCGCTATAATCCTATAATCAAGATTTTAAATTAACCTTCAGTTTCTCTTAAGTTCTCCGATCTTGATATGTTACCATTAAAGTGTTATGAAATATTCATTTGATTCTGAAGCTTGGGTTCTCTGTCTACCAATGATTTATAGTTGCACTCCTATTTATAGCAGCCAATTCGTTAGCGAGAAAGTTCTAGTTCATATAGTCAGTTTTTAATTGAAATCGATAACATTACCTATTCTAATAGTAATTTCATTAATATTTTGTTTCTAAATTTTCAAAGCAATGTATAAATCCTATAATCGATGAGTAACTGAATTTCAGTAAATAAAAATTATACATTTCAATTTCAACAAACCTCTCAAGAATTCGTTATTCTACCTCAAAAGTAGTTTTTAGATCATGCACTTTTTTACAAAGACTTGCTTCTATCAACCGGACGCTTCTGAGTTCTTGCTTTGTTCGGTTACTGTTTCTCTAAGTTTGAAAAGCTTAACAATAATCTTCCAAATGTTCTTATAAAAGGGAATGCTATCATAAACAGTCGAATAAATCAAATATGGTACAACGAAAACGATTTATATTATTTATACCGTTAAGCTTTTTACGCGTTTGACATTTCTCCACAATCTCGAATTGTAAATTTTCCTTAAGAAGGCGATTCAGGTTTATTATAAGGTTAACTGTTCGGTCTGAAACGTCTCGATTTTTTAAGACCTGGCGTTTCAGAATCTAATTTATAAGAATTTATTACGTGAGTGATAAAATTTTTAATGCAATTATGTGCCGAATTGTTTTTTACGTAAAACCAAATTTCTTAACAGTCACCGACTTGATTTATATCACACGCGATTGCCGAAATAACAAACATAACGTTACTTTCGTTGTTTTTAAGTTTCGATAATTTTACTTTTTTATTTGAAACCATTGAGTGCAGCATCGCCTCTATTTTTGACAAGAAATTTTAGCGGACTTTATAATTTTAATAAACTTTATCATAATAAAATAACTTGTGAATATTTATTATTAAGAAATTTTTTTATTATTCATGTTTAAAACTTTATACGTATTCATTATTTATTTTTTATTATTCATTTTTAACACTTTACATAAAATTTTATTATTTATTTTTAATACTTTACATTAAAAAGATTTATACGTAACAACATTTTATTAAAAACTTTATAATTTATTTTAATAATTTACATTTAAAGATTTATTAATAATAAAATATTACATTGAAAATAAAAAACTGAGATACTTAGTTTCGGAGAAAATTTCTCCTACTAGTCCCAACCACCGCGTAGAGGTGTATCTCATGGTTGGGAAGGCGAACCCCAACCCCATTTTTCTCACTCACCGGTACTTGTCATGGCTCGGTTCCCGGCCTCGAGCGGGTTGTTCCCCTTGAATCATTAACACTTTCGTATTTCATCAAGGTAGCTTTAACTCAATTTATCCTCTAGAGTTCGAGCGTCCGTATTTCCACTCGTACTAATAAAACCCATATGATAAACGAAAAACAGTATATTAAATAAACAGAATATCAAAAAAACAGTGTATTAAAATTAATTAAGCCGTATATATAAAGTGAAATTGGTATTATATAAGATATAGAAAAAGTAAGAAAGCGATGGTATTATTTAAGATATAGAAAAAGTAAGAAAGCGATGTTATTATATAAGATATAGAAAAAGTAAGAAAGCGATGAGAACAATAGCGTAGCGAGAAGAAAAAAAGGCATCCTTATATAACTTGCGATTTTTTTTTTCGATCGCGTAAAATCGAATTAATTACACAATAATTACGCAATTTTATCCATTTTATCACAAGACAAAAAAATATTTCGATGATGATTCGTTATCAATTTCCTTAATTAGAAATTAGGTAGTCGAAGACGTATGTCATATTTACATGAAAAGGCCATCCATGAATATCGATATTGTTCTCTACGAATGATATCTTTAAAGAAACTGGTTTGAGACCGAGTTTGGATTCTAGACCACATGAATATATACGCAGTTATTATACCCCCTTTTCTGCAATGTATAGTCATTCGTGGCACAAGAACTTATCCTAACAAGGCAATATCTCCTTCGCCATATTGGGTGGCATGTGTTTTTTTTTTTTCCGATCGCGTAAAATCGAGTAATTTTATCAGTTTTATCACAAGACAAAAAATATTTCGGAGTTGATTAGTTATCAATTTCCTTAATTAGAAATTAGACATTATGTAATACGTATTTGCATGAAGAGGCTACTCATATCGATATTGTTCACTCTCATTACACACTCTAAATGCATAAAAAATGCATCGTTAAAAACTTGTTAAAAGCCAAGTTCGCGAAAATTTTTGTGTAAAAGTTTCGCAGAATAACGGCCGTTTCCGTTCATCTTCATAGAAGTCATTTCGCGGCACAAGGAAGACGGCACGAACTTATCTTAATAAGGTAATCTTACCCTTTCGTCATATTAGGCGCCATGTGTCAATCATTTTGACACATTGATTTCTTTGTTTAGGTCTTGCATGATAATCGGAGATATACGATTTTGAGACGCACGATCCAAGTTCACAGTACGTACGTACTAGAACAGGAAACGGACATTATGTATAGGATTTGGAACCGGTTACTTTATTATATGTGTATCACAATATCGATATGAAAACGGAATAATTATTCAGTAATACAGTAATATCAGACATTCGATTTCAGATAAATAATTTACGTCAAGCGTTGAGAATCAGGAACTACTTGAATTTCATAGACAGAAGTTCGTCTGATTGGCTAATAAATTCAATTTAATTTTACATTATTTATACAGTTTAGAGTACTTT